TTCTAAATTACGTATCTCAGTACATAGAAATTTAAGCATTGAAAATATATTCTTTGCAATCAAAGACCAAAATTTTTGTATTAATCTTTTTATCTGAAAGTTGAGCATAGTCATTAAAGTGAAATAGTTTTACTTTCAAAACATTTGTAATTCTAAAATTAGGTAATTTTCTCTTACTTTCCTTCTCTTAATATGAAATGTTCTTAAAACCCATAGAAAATGTCTTCCACTTTAATTTTTATAGGCATACTTCTAATATTGACATCCTAAGACTATTTTTGTCTATTTAAAAGATTTAAAGTAATTCTATTTTTTTTTTTTTTTACTTTGCAAGTGGGTAGATCTGCTCTTCAGAAAGAGACAGAAATCTCGAAAGCAAAAGCACCACCACCCCCATGAGGCATGGTCATACCACAATCCCTTCTCCTTGCTATCTGCCTTTTTTCACGATTTTGGGCATACACACACATGCACCTAGAGTGTTTTTCAAGCTGCCAGGTCCAGGACTCAATCTACATGGTCATCCATGGGGACCCAGCTCTTTCATGACCAGGACCCTGGCTGGTCCACAGTCATTTTACTTTCAAAACAGATCATAGAAACATGAAAATTCAAACATTCCTCTTTATGCCCAAAGTTCTCATCTCTAATTAGAGATAATAAAATTACCTACCCATGGATTTATGGAGATTAATAGGACAATGTCAATAAAAGTGTTTGCCTCATGGATACTAAGAATTTAGAAATGATAATGGTTATTATTTTAGTTACATTAATCTTTGAATGAAACAAAATTTAAATTCCATTCTTGCTATTGTGACCTGGAAAAGTGATTAACCTTTATTATTAGATATTTATGATATATTTCTTCTGATATATTTATCTTCCCAACTCCCAATGACTTTACTGTATCTCTTTACTCAAGATAAATCTAATTTCTACTCCTAAAACCAAGGCTCTGCAAGCTATTTTTAAATATTATGGCCTGCCTCACATTCTGTACAATTGAATTCTCTTTCCTGATGATTTGAAATGAGTAAAAGCCACATATTCTGGGTGGTCTCTCAAATGGTGCATAGTATTTTAATTGTTGGGTAGATGTAAATGTGAAGCATGGATAAATCTGATTTATAAAAAGAGATGACTAAGGTTACGGAAAAAAAAAAAAAAAAAAAAGGAGTGACAACTTACTGGGATCATCTAGCCTTCAGCTAAAGAGCTGGCCAACACTGGAGTTGACATCCTCCAAACCCAACTCCTTGTAGGTAACAGATATAGGAGTTAAGAGTATGAAAACCCAGCACACTTGCCTTCAGTCAAGAAAATCCTGAAGCATGACTGGGGTTCCAAGGCTCCCTCCAGAATCAGAATATTTATAACGCAAAGAAATAGAGAATGTATAGGCTATATTGCTAACGGCTTTGTTGATTATTTTTATCCATTCTTTTGAAATTTCACCAGAAAGCATGTTTACTTGCAAGACAGAGAAAGAGAGAGAGATGGAAAGTGAGAAAGTAATTCCAAGAGGATGACCACACCACAATCCCTTCTCCTCCAATTCTCCCTCTTTTGGAATCTTGTGTATACAGACACACAGCCCTTGCCAGGTACAAGACTCAAGCTATAGTCAGTCATGTGGGATCCAGCTGCCTTAAACACCATGCCACCAGCTGGCCTGCTGAATTTTTTTAGAAAGAGATTTTAGCTACAGGTACATGCACTTGCCAGAGACACAGAGAGAGACTGAAAGAGAGAAGGTGAGAAATCAATCACCCCCTAGAGTGGATGTCCGTATTGCAACTCCTTCTCCTAATTGACACAAAGCAATTCTCTACTCTTCCTCCATTCTCTTCTAGGAATTTTGGGCATGAAAGCACACGTGCCTTATATGAGTTTCAAGCCACCAGATCCGGGACTCAAGCTACAGTTAGCCATGTGGGAGTCCAGTGCCTTAACAACTATGCCACCTGCTGGCCCTGACCTGCTGATTCTTAATTCTAGATCTTTAAATGCCTGATGGGTGTCCAGAGATCACACACCCTGGTTCTTGTAATGCTCTCATCCCACTCCAGTCTTTGTTGTTATTGTCGTCATTCTTTTTCTTCCTTCTTTTCCTTTTTCTCTACTTCCTCTTTCTTTCCTTCTCCTCCTCCACCTCTTCCTTCTTCCTCTTTTTTTCTTCCTATTCTACTCTTTCTTCTTCTCTTGTGGTCTGGCAACCACAGAGAATTTTAATAGGTATTTCTTGATTAACCAAGAGGTAGCTTGACAATTTGCAGGTGAATTTTTAAAGTAATGGGAGTCAGATTCATATTTGGATTTTTTAATTATGAATTTAAAAAATTTTAAATTTTAAATTATGAATTAAAAAATTTTAAATTCATACCTACATTGACTGTTCTGAGTCAATTAGGCATTTTCACATATTTCAATTAACCTTAACATACTTGAGCAACCTTAGAAGGTCTACATTACCATCCATATTTTACAGTGATGAAACAGCAGCTCACACAGTTTAAATTCCTTGGCTCAGAAACATTGGCAAATTCAGCAGGGATGCAGTCGGGTTATGATAGAGGCTTAGAAGGCTCCTGCATACGCATTCTGGGTCAGCTTCAGCACAGCAGGCATGCCAGCAAGTGTGCCCATGATCCTGTCTGGTTACAGGGTTGGGGGGAAGATGATGGCATGATGTGCCTGTCAAAGAACTCTGTCTCTCTTCATCTCTCTCTCTCTCTGTCTCTCTCTTTCATAAATAATCAACATGAACCTCCTTTTCTTTTCTTTTCTTTTTTTTTTTTTAAAAAAAGGGAACTAGGTATCAGAAGATGGCATAATGGTTGTTGCTGGACTCCCACATGGCCAACCTTGGTTTGAGTCCCAGACCTAATGGCTTAAAACTCACTGGGTGTATGTGAATGTGTGCCCAAGATCCCGAGAGGGACGTGGAAGAGAAGGGATTGCAGTGTGACCATCTCCCCTGGGGGGTGATTTCTCACTTTTCATCTCTGTTTCACTAGCGAGCACACATGCCCTATAGCAAAAATTTCTCTAAAAAAAGGATCAGGGAGATAGTTAAATTCCTTTCCTATGGTCACATACATGGTATACGTAATTCAAATCCTGATAATCCTTTATTCGCAGTTTCCCCGGAGTGCTTGATGGAAACAGAATGAGAATTTCATGGATGTTCCTCTTATTTTCATATGTATAACACATGGGAATTCAAATTCACTTATGGCTATACCATTATATTCACCCATTATATTCACCGGATTATAGAAAACATAACTTTAGTTATTTAACATTAAGTCACTGACTGAAATGTTTTGAGTATGCCATCACTCACCCCTTTCTTCTTATTATTATTTCTGAATAATTGAATAATTCTGTTTGCCTTATTTTTTGATGATTTGATGAGGATAAATCTTTTTTTTTTTTTTTGTCATAGGGTCTATGTACTCACCTGAGAGAGGAAGTGAGAAGTCATCCCCTGGGAGGATGGCCATACCACAATCCCTTCCTCTCCTCCATTCTCCTTTCAAGATTTTGGGCATGAACACACATGCACCTGGCATGATTTTTAAGCATCTGGGTCCAGGGCTCAAACCACAGTAAACAATGTGAGAGTTTAGTACCTTAACAATCATGCCACCTGCTGGCCCTAAGGGTAAATCTTTTATCCAGCTTGTGACTGCCAAAGTATCATGGTACATGTGATACATTAGGGTCTTATTAGAGCCATTTTTACATTGTTATGGGGGTGTATGTGAGTGCATTTGCGTTCATGTGTAGTTTTATTTTGTTTTGTTTTTCCCCCTCAGGTGGGGTCTATTGCATTGCCAGCTTCTTGCCTCAGCCTCCTGAGTAGCTGAGACCACAAGTGAGTACTTCTATCCAGCTCCTTCAGACATGATCTAGCAATGTGGCTTACACTGTAAGCTCAAAATTCTCCCACTTCAACTCTGGAGTGTCTGGTACAGGTGCATGCCCTAGAACCCATATTTTTAGGGTGAGTTGGGAATTGATCCTGGGCCTGGGCCTTCCATGTGGCCTCAATCTGCCTAGCATCACTGTCTTAGCTCTCACTATCCCAGCTTGGCCTATTTCCTACTGTATTATAACATCATCAGGATAATAAATGTGTCGACTTTCATTTATATTAACTATCTTTTTGTTGTGTAAGTGTTGAAAGTTAAGCAATATGTAGAACTTTTTGGTAAATCTTCGAGCTCATTATGTTTTGTGATCAATTTTTTTTTTTAAGAGGATTTTTGCTATAGGGCGCATGTGCTCGCCAGAAAGACAGAGAGAGGGAGAGACAGACAGAAAGTGAGAAATCTTCCCCCAGAGGGATGGCCATGCCACAATCCCTTCTCCCCTCAGGATCTTGGGCATACACACACAAATGGCCAGCATGAGTTTAAGCCACTGGGTCCTGGACTCGAACCGCGGTTGGCTACATAGGAGTTCAGCGACATAGCCATTATGCCAACGGCTGATCCCGTTTTGTGGTCAGTTCTACTGAAGAAATGAAACTTGTATCAAGCTGGTATGTTCCTAACATAATGTAGTGTTTATAAAAAAACTGATGGAACATAGACTCAGACAAATTGTAATCCTCCAAATGACTAGCTTACTCTATTTGAACTATCAACACTATTACCAGTTACAACGTTAACCCACTTTTTTTTCTTTAATTATGATTTCTGGATTTACAATAAGTCAATGTACATCTTTGTGGAGTATAGTATGAATTTTCAAAGCATGCATATATAATATATGGTATATAATAGTCAATATATAGTATATAATAGTCAATAGTATATAATAGTCAACCTAGCTTACTTAATCTTCACACCTCAAGGACAAACATTACCATATTAAATACTTGAGTTAGGTCCATTTCTTTATAGCATCTAATCCTAAATAGAATCCTATTCCCTTAGTTCTTCTTCAGACTCATCTAAGACAAATCCAGATTGTCCATTCTCTTCTAGGAGCCCTTCCCACTTCTCTTCTACTGAGATCTCCTAATGGTCCTCTGAAGGGGGTTTTTGCTATGGCAACCAAGTAAGACTAACTTTTAACTGTATGTGACTACAGATATGTTCCTAGTGCTCTTTGTTGTTGGAACTAAATACTACCTATAAATCCATGATGTTTCTTTTTGTTTTGAGCCTGATGTCTATGTTTATATGTATTTCCTTCACAGCAGATTTTAAATTCTCTTGAGTAAGAAGCTTTCTTCTCTTTTTTGGAGAGGTTTTTGCTATAGGACATGTGCGCTCACCAAAAAGACAGAGAGAGACAGAGATAGAAAGTGAGAAATCATCCCCCAGGGGGGATGGCCACACCACAATCCCTTCTCCTTCATTCTCCTCTTGTGATCTTGGACACGCACACACATGCGCCCGGCGTGAGTTTAAGCACCGGGCCCGGACTTGAACCACAGTCAACTACATGATAGTCCAGCGACATAGCCATTATGCTAACTGCTGGTCCCAGAAGCTTTCTTCTTAAAGCCCAAATCCATGCATGCTTTAGTGAATACTGATAGCATATACCCTAGTTACTACCTAGCTGGTGGTTGGATAACCCTTCTTTTCCTACTGACCTTCCTTCATGGAAGGCATTATGCCTATGGAATGAAAGGAAGTTGCAGAGGTAGGCAAGAATCTACAAACCAAGAAGTTTCTGCCATTAGTAATTTGGTTTCCCTAATACTTACACCCTAAGCAGAGGCTCTTCCAGTTTGATAAATAAAATGATATTTCAGTTCTGCTTACTCTCCTTTACCAACTTTTACCCCTTTATTTTCTTTTTCTGTTAAAGCCCACGAGTTTCTTTCAGCTTCCACTGGAGGCTTTGATTGCCCACTTAGGTTTTCCTTTAAAAGTTCCTCTACCCAGTCAATTGTTCAAAAGTGACACTACAATAGAAATTTTCTTCAACTACAGTAATGTTGCACACTATGGAATTAGCACAAAAAGAGAAAGAGAGAGAGAACTGTTTATCACATTGAAGACTTCCTTTCAAAAACTCCTTCAGTAATCTTTCTCTGTAAATTTAAATTTTGGGGCAAGCTGTGTTAACTTAAAATACAGCACATTGCAATTGATATGCTCATCCTTATTGATGGATAGGGTTTCTTCTAGTTTTACTGTGCTTTCTATTCAGCAGCCTCATTCCAATTTCTTAAAATATCAATATGGGTTCTTTATAATATTGTATTACTCAAGACAGTTTTTATGACTTTGTACTTTTTTAGCATTAATAAAATGCATAGTAAATATTGGAACATTTTCAGGCCTTTTTCACCTATAAGCTTGTGTTTTGATGTTTTAGTCATCTCAAACTGTACAAAATCTAAAAATATGAAGAATAAAAAAAAAGAAAAAAAATAACAATCTCCTACCAAAACAAAACAACATAGCAACAGGATTTTGTTTCCTTCTGATGGTAAAAAGGGCATCCTAAATTTTAAAGTATTTATATATTAATAGTCTACAAAATGATCCCATATTTCTTATTCAGAGGTAAGAGATGGAAAAGCATTAATTGTTGGCTTCATATTTTCATAACTTAACAACATATTTTGTTTTATAAGCATAGAATCATTCTATTATTGTGCAACTTAATGTTTTAACGTACAAACCTTTTGAATATAAATTATGTTTGAATTCACATCCTAAAGTAACGTGAAGAATTCTTTCATATGTCAGTAGTCCAAGGTATTTACAATGACTCGTTTGCACAGCTCCTCTGGAGGGAAGAACCACTATTGTCCCTGAAGCTAGCTTTCTCACAGATGTACTAAAATGGGAATGGAGGTAAGATATGAAAACAATTTGAGATGATTTCTAAGTGTCTTTGTGATATGAGTTTTTGAGCTTCCACAAGTAAGTGATACACTGGGAGGAAGTGTTCACTTTGAGCCAGATGTTGGAAGAAATAAACTAAGATGTGTCCATAATTCAAAATGATCTTATTTAGTAAATTCTAAAATATTGGGTTATTGGAAAAGTCAAGACACATTTTCGCATAGAAAAATATGTCATGACTTTTCTGACAACCAATACTATCAATTTTAAAACAAACTTTATTTTAGGTAAAACAAAACAAATCATTTGCTGTCAATATGTGGAACATATCTTGCCACTTAGAATTTTTTTATGCTTAATCAAAGAGCTACTTAATTTAGAAATATAGTTTTTTTTTTTAAAAAATTATTTTACTTAACTTTAGTTATTTATTTATATGCTTTTATTTGGCCAGAAAAGGACAGAGTGAAAAAGAGAGAGGAAGCAAGAAAAGAAACCACCAGGTCCAGGACTCAGTCATAGTCGGCCATGTGGGAGTCTAGCACCCTTAACTACCACACCACCTGTCGATCCCGAAACATATAGTTTTTAAAAATTATTATAGTGTATCATTCTTTTATATACATTAAATGGGAAATATATGGAAAGTGCCTTAATTAAGGTGTCCTTAAAACATCTTCACATTCAAATTCCAACTCTTCTAAGTCAGCATGGGACCCAGAGGCACCAATATCAGTGGTATTCCCAACACCTTGCAATATAATCCTGTGTTCCATCAAGATTACTGGTGCAATACTTCTTAAATGAGTCTACACCATTAGCTCTAATTTCAAGGTACTACCTACCTTGCAAGCTAAAATGCTGATGCTTTTTTGATCTTGCTAGAATATACTGACAATAGCAAGCATATTCTGACATAGCCAATGGAGATATGATATGTCCCAATTTCAGAAGCATTACTTATTTTAAAAGTTACATTTTAAAGTGAGTGAAATACGGCGTTATTTCTCCTTCCTGAAATCCTTGCTATGAGGTGTGTGATTCAAAGAAAGAATATTCAGACTGATTCTCCACAATTATATACATTGATTAACATGCAGGCCAAAGAAATATGAGTGAAACAAAGCCCATTTCATGAACCCTGGGATTTTTTTTTTTCATAAGGAAAAAAAAAAAACTCCAATAAGTAGCTACAAATAGGCAACAAAAGATATGAATCTTAACTATAGCTTCTATTTAAAGATTAAAGATTATGAATCTTTTATATCTTATACACTATTCAGATCAGGATGGTACTTCCTCTCTATTATTTTACCCAATCCACATATCTTTAACATGACTAAATTCCAAACATTAAAAAATAAATTCTAACAGCCAGCATGTTAATTAAAATACTATTGCTGCCTTAGAATATATATATATCGGCATATTTAATTGAAGTACAAATGTTAACTAAATTCTACTAGGTCAAAATTTTAAAGACAATTCTGTTAGGTCAAAAATTTAGGGACCAGCAGTTGGCATAATGGCTATGTCGCTGGACTCCCATGTAGTTGACTGCAGTTCAAGTCCAGGACCCAGTAGCTTAAACTCATGCCGGGCACATGTGCGTGTGTACGTGCCCAAGATCCCAAGAGGAGAATGGAGGAGAAGGGATTGCGGTGCGGCCATCCCTACTGGGGGATGATTCCTCGTTTTCTGTCTCTCTTTGTCTTTCTAGCAAGCGCATGTGCCCTATAGCAAAAACCTCTCTATAAAAAAAAAGAAAAAAAAAGAAAAGAAAAATACTTTAAAATTTCTATGATTATTAGAAACTCAACCATAGCTTTTATTTGTACACTGCAGTTCTCAGTTATATGATTATTTTTCTGTTACTTAGGCATTGATTTCTCAAAAAATCCTCTCCAAAAAATTTTTAAGGAGAATTTTTCATAAATTACTGATGATACAAAATATTTTTAAGTAAATCCATGTCTTTTCTTTAGGAAAATGGAGATATGTGGCTGGAAGATATCTTATCCTTAGTAGAATTGCTTTATAGTTAAGTAGCTAGTAGGAAATATTGAACAAAATGTTCAAAAATGATTCTGTTTGACTTGTAAAACTACACAAAATATATTATGAGAAAAAATTGTTTTTCTCTCATATACAGATTTACTTTTAGTATTAATAAATAAGTGTGGGAAGCTGCACACCAGCGAGTCTGCTGAGGTTTCTCAGAGGGCAAACAATTACCATGATTGGTTCCCTTCCAAAAACCTGACCTTCGAAACCTTGCTCTGATTGGCCACTAGAATCCCTCAAATTTGCATATCCAGCACCTCATGATTGGTCCAAAAGCAACCAATCATAACCCACCGTTAACAACCAATCAGGGCCCACCGTTTACAACCAATCACAGTCCTTCGTTTACAACCAATCACGACCCACCGTTTACAACCCACCAGAGTGTATATAACCACGATGCCTGGCCCACAGTAGCCAGATGACACAGACCACCAGGAAGATGACGATGACAACCAGGAAGACGACAACTGAAGAGCCTGAAGAGCTGAAACCCCGCGCAGTCTCCAGACGACCCTGAAGATCCTGAAGAGCTGACACTGCATCGTCTCCAGACGACCTGGGAGACCCTGAAGAGCTGTAACACTACATCGTCTCTGGACGACCCTGAAGAGCTGTGACACTGCGTCGTCTTCGTGCTGCTCACAGTAGACGACGCGACCCGTAAGAGCTGTGATGCTGTGTCGTCTCTGTGCTGTACCGTGCTGCCCACAATAAACGGACGACACTGTCGTCTCTGTGCTGTAACACTACGCCGCTTGTCCTGGCTCTCACTCCTTCACTCAGGAAACCTGTTCAGCTGTCCCCCCGGGTCGGGACAAATAAGCACTGAGTAAGTAACCTAATATTTCAGTTTATTCTTTCATGGATAAAAGAGATAGGAAGACACGCAGTAGACAGCTACCCCAGCAAGGTCTTGGTGCTGTGAGCCACCCTCTGCTACAGTCAGCCCCAAATCATGGACGTATATGTATATACCTTTGTGTTCATGAAGATCTACAGATGTGAACTCAGAATGTTCCCATGTGACTCAGCCTGGCAAAGCATCACATTATTGCTATGACACAAGTGAGCTCAGTCTAGTGACATCTTAAATCAAGAATTATTGTCATAGGAACAGAATATTTGACTTCTGGGATATTGCTTACCATCTTTGTTTACTTCTGCAAAGTCATCTCATTTTATTTATGTCAACCACAGGGCTCTTGAATATGAGCTGTGCACAGCGAACCATAAAAAGTATGGTTAAGCGATATGGACTCTGACAAAAATCTTTTCTCCAAAATATTTATATGTAAATCCAGGCTAACGCCTTTGGCATCTTCCAACCTGATAAGCATAAATGTCAGAGGGCCTCAGAGAGTTGTCCACTCTATCCCTCCGGCAATCCCCAAAACTCTCATTCTCCTTTTCTTTGCCATTTAAAAACAAATTTCAAATCTGCAGATCATGAACATGAAATGTTTCCCCAAATAACCTCACTTCATATGTATTAGAATGTTCTTAGGAAATATATAATCATCTTTGACATTGGTAGACTTTTTTTTTTTAATTTCTTGGAATTGCTAAAACCAGCATAATAACCCGGGCCTGTACAATCATTGGCACAATATTAAAGATGGCATAATTTTATGGATCTTAAAAGGGAAGTGCCTTATAAATCATTGCTTCTAAAAGGTTGCTTCTGAGAAGCAAGCAAGCAGTCTCATTCAAAGAAAAATGAGACATTTTTTTTCTTTCTTGTTCAGTAAGCTCCTGAACAAAAGAATCCCTTGTTTTAATTACCAAGAAAACAAGGTTTACTCGTATATCCCTAACCCCCACAGTAAGTATATCCCATTTTGCTACAAATTTCTTTGTCAACCATTTTAATTACAGTTTAAGATTAATTGTATTTTTATTTCATTTTTTAAAGACAGGGTCTCACCATGTCGTGATCCTCTTGCCTCAGCCTCCCAGCTGGGACTGCAGGCTGGCTGGGCCACTCTCATTAGCTCTAGCCCTGACTTCTAATAGTTTCTCACTGTCTACATCAATTTTCTTCTCCAAAATGTGTTGTTTACTAAAAACTATATTCTTGAGTCTCTCCTCACACCAATAATCAGAACTGTCAAAATTTAGATTTTTATAACGAGCCTACCTACTGATTCTCCTTGTCACTGAAATTGGCAAACTTTTAATCTTTCAAGTTAGGCATACTCAACCTTCAAAATATACTGTTATCTCATTCCCTTTTCTTCTGTTCATTTCTCATCGGAATGACCAAAATAGACATTTACTATATTTTCATTTTCTGGAATAATTTTAGACCTTACTTATCCTGATCCATTTATTATGCTGTGGTTGATAACTAAGGGTGATTTTTGTCCTCTAAGTAACATTTGACCAGGTCTGCAGGCATTTTCAGTTGTCACAATTGGGGAAAATAAGGCTACTCCTGGAGTGTAGCAGGTAAGAGGAAGAATGCTGCTAAACATGCCACAGTGCCTAGGAAAGCACAGCAGACTCATCTTGCCTAAAATATCCACAGCGTTGGTATTAGGACTGAGAAGACTGCTCTACACAGATAAACTTCTATCTCCTCCTTGTGTCCAAACTGCAATTTCAGTTTCTTTATTTTGTTTTTTAGTTTATTTATTTATTTTATTTATTTATTTATTTTTTTTTCTGTAAGTGAGAGAAACAGGAGAGTGGAGGGGGAGGTACAACAGCCCCAACAGGGACTTGAATACCACAAACCAACCCCAACTTTCAGCCAATTCTGGATTATGTACAAGCTCATGCCAGGTGTACTTCAGAAGATCTACAGACATGAACCCAGAATCTTTGCCTCTCAAAGCATTGCATTAAGTGCACCATCCAAATCTGGTCCTTCCATTTCTTTAAATGTGTCTGTCATAACACCCTGATTATCTGTTAAAAACCTTTTTGTGTAGGATTGTAAAAAAAAAAAAAAATACATTTCATGATCTGTCATTCCCCCCAGGAGAATAAGCATTGGATGCCTAGTACCTAGCATAGTAATTTGCACATAGTAGGTGCTTATTAAATTAGATTTAGTGAGTCATATTTGTTTGTAGATTATGTTTCTTTGTATATATGAGTAATTACAAAAAATCAATATATGTAAAGTGACTCTAACATTAAATCAATAGCTATGCAAATATTAATTACAATGATCCCTTTAAAAGGCTTCACAAAACATTGTGAATTTCAAAAATAAAATAAAACCTTTTTGTGTTGAATTACTATGAATTATATTTCATGACTCAAAACAAGCTATGGGTCATAAATATGTGGTATGTTTATTATTTTGTATGGCTAAGCATAGTTTACATTCTCAATTGAAAACAATATTTAAAACTATTTTATATTAATTTTCAGCTAAGTGAATTAGATCTGCCAGAGATCTGGCCTGGGAATCAGAGATGAAGAATAATAGTAGAGTTCAAAAGAGCTTATCTGTCCCAGGTCTTTGAGTGTAGATAAAACACATATCATTATTCCCATTTTTTAAATGATGTGTCAGAATCCATGAATATTTACATGCCTGGTCTTGATTCACAATGGTAATACGTGTGTAAGATCATATTTAAATCCCAAAGCCTCATTTTATTATTCTACCTCATCAAGGCAAATAGTTAAAAAAAGAAAAAAGAGCAGGCTCATTATTTACTCCCCTTTGTTATTTTCTCCTCTTTGAGATGTATCGTGGTATAGTGAAAAGAGCATATTTCAGTATGAGAACACCTTTGATTTAAAAGGCAATTCTCTCTAAGAAACCAAAGAAAATGGGTTTACCAACTTATTTTGTAAAGAGTCAGATAGTAAATATTTTTGCTTTGTGGGTGTATGGTATCTGTTACAAATAGTTCAGCCTCAGAGAGAGAAAGCAACCATAAACAATAGATAAATGGATGTAGCTGTTTTCCCATACAATTTTATTAATAAAAACAGGTGGCAAGCAAAGTCAGAGCATAGAACATAGTTCTCTAACCCCTTTCAGAGTAAACGACTATACCTTCTCATTTATAAAATGGAAGCAATGCAGATTATCCCTTAGCTTTGAAATAACTCAGAGTAACTGAGAAATGTTACACATCTATAACAGCATGTAGCCTCTTACAGACATCAAATGTACTATTATGATGATAGCAGCAAGTGAATTAACATGTAAATTCACTTGTACAATTATTTTACTTAATTATTTAAGTAATAAAAGGCTGAGATTATAAGGTAGCTCAGTTGTAATGACTTCCATGCCAAACTTTCCTATTCAAAGCTCTATATCTTCAAGTTTTAGTATCATTTTTAAAGTATTATTATTTTTTAAAAGAACAGAAAATTTAAAATTATTTTAGGAAAATACTACAAACAGCAGTTGAATCCTCTAAAGTTAGGTAAGACTCATCATTTCAAAACAGAAAATGAGTGTAGGTTTATTTTATAAATTGTTCTCACTGCTGGTAATTACTGAATGCTTATTTAATGGCTTATAATGAATTCCATGCATTTTCTAAGAATTATTTTGCTCCCAGAGTTATGTGGATTAATTTATGTATATTTAATTTAAAAATTAGCATCACTTTGGGGATTTGTCTGTGTCCCTTTAACATTTCATGCATAAATCAGCTACCTTAAGCTTTCCTAAAAATGCATAAATACATAAAATACTTGTTAGCACATTTACTTTTGAAAATAAACAGCAATAAATATTTGTACTTTTAAAATTCTAGTTGGCCAAAATTTATAAAGAAAATAGCACAACTGTGGTGGTTCAGTGCTAACACCACATTTTGCAGTGCTGAAGCCACGTGGGAGAGTACCAGGTTATACCCCATGTCTTCCTGCACATAGTGCAGGCACACACATAGTAATAATAATAATGTGGTTTGTAGGGCATTGGTTTCATACCTATGTATTTGATCTACTGGGTATTCTATTACATTTCTTTATTTCTCACATTTTGTATATGTAGAAGTATCTGTGATTAGATCAACTTCATTCTGTCCTTTACATGAAATGAATCAGGTAAGGCACTCCAGGAGTCTCTTAACTATCCAACATCATCCTTTCTATAATTCTCCTCAGAGTGTCTGATTCACATTTGTGGAATTATAGGAGGTACATAAAGTAATATCTGTCCTAACAATCACACCAACATAAGAAAAG